CGGGGCGGGCGACTCGCGGCCGCTGCTCGCCGGCCGCCCAGGGCTGGGCGGTTTTGTTTTCGCCCTCGCGTGGTGCAGAGTCGAAGCGCAGTAAGATGTCCACTAGGACCCCCTTGCCAACCGTGAATGAACGAGACACTGAAAACGTGAGTGGCCCGCGCTGCCAGTGCGGACGCGGCGGGCGGGTCGCGGGTGTCCTGCGCTCTGGAGTGGCGTCGCCGCCCGCGGCTTGTCCCGGTGTGTGGGATCACCGCCGCGGGCCGTGCACGTTTGAACCCAGGTTAAAAGCATGTGTCCTCCGTGCAGGTTAATGGGAATCCATCTGGTTGATGGATTGTGGACTGGCCTTTCTGCTCCTTTAAAATGGTTCGGAAATAAGTTTAATGACAGTCGCTGAAACCAGATGCCCAAGGTGGGATCTTTGTGGCTCCCTTAGTTGCTCCACGACTCTGCTCGGAGAGTTGTTCCCGGAGAGAGGAGTCCTCACCAGTCCTGCGGCGAGAAGTTGGCTAAGCGTTTTGAAAGGCGGATGTGTAGTGAAGCTCTGCCTGCGCTTGCTGCCCAGCTGAAGCACGGCCCTCCTGGGGCTTCCCGCTTTCCTCCATCCTAGAAAGTTTGGCTTAGAAGAGCTCTCAGGTCCCTTCCAGCGCTCACATCCCGTGCGTCTATAAAAGGTCTCTTTGATTTTATTCATGTGGACCTTTAAAAACTGCCAGGAACAGCATTGTTAAGGAGTGACAGCTTGTAGTAGAAATTACATTGAAATGTTTGGCTCTGACCCAGTGTTTTCTGAACTCTTTCTCCAGCATTAGGTTCAGAAGTGTTGGTTATCTTAAGTAAAAATATCTAGCAAATAACTCTTAAAGAAATTGCACTGGCCTTTCATTATAAGTGTTACGAGGTAGTTGCTGACAGGAGAATGCCATCTCTTAGGAAAAGCTTCCTTGCTCACGGTGATTTCATGTTTTCAGTAGTGTTCTGAGATGTTGTGACAGAGTGGCATCAAATGCCTTCATTTTAATCTTCAAAATACCTCTTGGTTGGTTGATAGCTATTGGGTAACTTAATCTGTTTATGTAAACTGTAGTCTAAAGCATTCCCTCAGTACAATAATGTATAGTATTTAATGCTCTTTAATCTGGCAGTGGTCTAGGTTCCTACTCCACGTGGATTAGAAAAATTACATAAAAAGTAATAGACTAGATCAGTCTGTGACCTTGTTCTTTTTTCTTTTTTTTCTGATGGGGGGTCCTGCTGTGTAGTACAGGCTGATGGCACACTCTTGGGCTCAAGAGAACTGACATGCCTGGCTTTATGTGGCTTTTATATGTGGCCTTTTTGAAGAAACCCATTTCTGACCTGAGCATTTTCCTGTTCTTTGACTACCCTGATGAATGGAACAAACAAAAAGATTTTTTGGTTGGCTTTGAGTTTTGATCTTCACTTAGTCAAAAACCTTACATTGAATCAGAGCAGGAGCTCCATACTTGCTCAACTGAAGCCAGTGTCAATAAAAGCAGGTTTCTGATAAAGATTTTCAGTTAGGTCTTCTTTCAGTATGCATTTCAGTGAGGGACAGTAGGAGAAGATATGTGCTATTTTCAGTTAGGAATACATGGCTAGCTAGTATTTGTGATTATTATTGACAGACTTGGTTCATTCTTCCTCTATTCTTTGGTTATTTTGTTCAATTATTTTGTAATTTTTGCATAAGTTGTTAGAATTACTCTCTCTGTTCTTTAAAAACAACCTAGGGTGTGTGTGTATCTTTCTTTTTTTTTAATATTTATTTTTTAGTATTGTGTCCAACTACAACCTTTATTTATTTATTGTTATGTGGTTCTGAGGATCGAACCCAGGGCGCTAGGCGAGCACTCTGCTGCTGAGCCACAACCCCAGCCCCAGTGTGTGTCTTTCTTTAATATCATGTAATGTATTTACAATTGGAGTATTGATACTGTTAAAATCAAGAGGTTCATAGTACATCATTACAATCATTACATTCATTCACCTTGCCCTTTTATTTCTTTCTTTTTTTTTTTTTGGTACTGGAGATTGAACTCAGGGTGCTTAACCACTGAGACATCCTCAGCAGCCTCCTGCCCCCCTTTTTAAAAAATATTTATTTATTTATTTTAAAGAGAGAGTGAGAGAGGAGAGAGAAAGATAGAGAATTTTTAATATTTATTTTTTAGTTCTCGGCGGACACAACATCCCTGTTGGTATGTGGTGCTGAGGAACCCAGGGCTCCGCACATGTTAGGCGAGCGCTCTACCGATGAGCCACAACCCCAACCCTCCTCCCTGTTTTTTAAAAAAATATTTAGAGACCAGTTCTTGTTCAGTTGCTTGGAGCCTTGCTAAGTTGCCAAAGCTGGCTTTGAATTTAAGATCCTATAGCCTCAGCCTCCTGAACAGCTGGGATTATAGGCGTGTGCCATTTCTATATTTTTGGTACTGGGAATTCAACCCAGGGGTGCTCTACCATTGAGCTACATCCCCTGCTATTTTTATATTAAGACAGGATCTTGCTAGGTTGGTGGGGGGGCCTCACTGAGTTACTGAGGCTGGTCTTGAACTTGTGAACCTCCTGCTTCAGCCTCATAAGTCTCTGGGATTACAGGCGTGTGCTTCCATGTCTAGTGCCATGTTCCATTTTTAGCTCTTGTGTTGGCATGTTCTGGAAGTAGCTGTGGTGCATGTGTCAGTGTTACACCTCAGGTTCACATTCGTCATAGTCCATGAACAACTAGTGTTATACTTCCTGCCAGTTGAGTGTTGAGTGTACAAGAATGAATGGGAGCTCTCAGTCTGTTGAGAAGTTCTTTTGTTAAAGTTAGGTTTATCGAGATATGACGTCCACACTTTTAAGTGCACAGTATGATGAATTGGGCAAATGTATAGTCATGTAACCACCACTACAAACAAGATGTAGAACCTTTCCATCACCCCAAAAGGTCCCTTGTGACCCTTTACAGTCACTTCCCTCTCTTCTTTAGCCCCTGGCAACCACTGATCTGTTTTCTGTCTTTCTAATTTTACCTTTTCTGGAATGTTTATAAATGGAGTTATGTAGTGTATAATCTTTTGAGTCTGAGTTCTTTCATTTATCATAATATTTTTTCTTTGTTTTTGCTATGCCAGAAATTGAACCCAGGAGTGCTCTACTACTGCACATCCCCAGCCATTTTTTGTTTTTGTTTTTGTTTTATTTCACCCAGTTTCCCAGTCTGACCTTGAACTTGCCCTCTTCCTATCCAGCCTTTCTTGAATTGCTGAGATTGCAGGTGTGGGCCATCTAACCCCGCTGGTTCATTCCTTTTTATTGCTAAGTAGCATACCACAATGTTTTATCCATTCACCAGTTGATGGACATTGTAGCTATTATGATTATTAGAGCTTTTATTTTATAGAAATACATTCCCTTTTGCTTATCCTGGGAATCTCATTAAAATTTTAAATGATTATATACACTTATGATAATAATATTGCTTATTAGATCAAGAATAATAAAGAGGGCTGAGGGTGTGGTTCAGTGGTATAGTGCTTGCCACACAAGAGTCCCTAGGTTCATTCCCCAGTACAGTTAAAAAAAAAAAAAGAATTTAATAGGTAATTTGTAACAAGAATATTATTTTCATCCTTGTATACAATTGTTTTTATTTGACTTTTAAATGTCAATATCCACTTTTAGTAGGTGGGTATATAAAAATTCACTGTCATCACATTTTATAGCCCAAAGAACTAGTCAAATAATCTAGTAAGGATGCTGAAACTAAGAGAGGTCACAGGAGCTGCTTGAGACTATAGGCTGTTTAAAAGGAAATCCTCGGGGCTGGGGATGTGGCTCAAGCGGTAGCACGCTCGCCTGGCATGCGTGCAGCCCGGGTTCTATCCTCAGCACCACATATAAACAAAGATGTTGTGTCCGCAGAGAACTAAAAAATAAATATTAAAAACTTCTCTCTCTCTTAAAAAAAAAAAAAAAAGAAATCCTCCACTAGACTCCAGATCTCTGACTCAGTCTGTTGATTTTTTGCTGTACTAGGCTATTTCTCAAGACCTCATATGCAGATTATTAAAAAAGGGGATGTAGATGTACCAATTCCCAGAATATAAATAAAGTAAACCTTTTTTTTAAGTCTGGAAAAAAAAATTTAAAAAAAAGTTAAAATCAAATTTTGTAGTTGTAGATGGACAGACAGCATGACTTGCTTTTTTTTTTTTTTTTTGGTTATGTGGTACAGAGGATCAAACCCAGTGCCTTACACATACCAGGCAAGCACTCTCCCACTAAGCCACAACCACAGCCCTACTTTGGAAAAATTTAAACAAGTAAGTAGAGACAATGGGGATATTTAATAATGATCCTCAACTGGGGTGAGTTTTGCCCTTCAGTGGACACATTTGGACATGCCTAGAGACATTTTTGGTTGTCATAGCTAAAGGGGAGGTTGCTGCTCATCAAGAATTCTGCTGAACATTTTAGAATACATGGAAAGCACCTTACCCCTCTAAGAATTATCTGGCCCAAAATGTCACTAGTGCCAAAGTTAAGAAACCCTTGTATTGGTGTGTAGTAAGCTCCATATATTCAGCAGTTCAGTGTCCAGTCTTATTTACTTCCTCTTCCAAGAAGTAAATTTAGTACATTATATCATTTCATTTCTCAAGCTTTTAGAATAGAACCTCTTTTAAAAATATAATTAGTACCTTTATCATATATATAAAGTCAGTGTTAAAGTTTCCTCAGTTTTCTGAGTTTTAAATTGTTCAAAT